TTAAGAATGATAAACTCGAAGCCTTTATATTGAAGTGGATGCCACTTGAAGATGTACTCATAAGTGAAATATACCAGACACACATGTGCAAATATCGTGTAGTTTCCCTAGCATAAGAACTCAAAAGAAGAAATACAAATATAAAGGTATAATACAAGTAAAAGGAAAGCAGGATCTCGAGCACTAACTAATCAAGAGAGGGAAAGGAGAAGAGCTAGGAAACATGAGAATGTCAAGCCATTCAATTATAGGTAGTAGATGGGCAAGGCAATGATCCTGAGAATCTCCAGAAGATTTTTGAATCTAGCAGTTAATTGGAAAGATTCTCACCCTGACTAACTATATTTACTGATACCTGTGAAATAAGCAACTGCACTGAAGATGGTAATCTTTAATATTAGTTTCATGCTTGGAGTGTCTGTCATTCTGGTCTTCTGAATACAGGCTGCTTGTCATGACATGCCAGTTGCAGCTGTGCTATCTCTCAGGTAGATGATTTTTCAAAAAGAAGGGGGTGGTGAGTGAAGGCAAGAGACAGGAAAATGAATATTGTGGGACTGTCCTGCTTCAAGGTTGTATATGGTTAGATTTTTGGACTTATGTGTAAACATAAGAAGTATATAATTCTTTATGCCTATTTTTAAAGATATATTGTATTTTTTAAATGTTTTTTCATCATATTCTGCAGGGACTTAAAGTTCAACATATCAATGCTTGATGAAAAATACTTGTTCCATGTTATGCCTAAGATGTTTGATATTCAGATATAGTGAGGTTAAGCTTAACTGTGTAGGTTGTATGGTAATAACAATAAACTTCTCTTCTGGTGGGTTAACAACCTAAGTTTCCAGACCAAATTTAGAGAAAAAGGACGGCTGCCAGGAAAGCAAATATTTTGGCCCTAGCCTTCCAAGGTCAATTAAGACTCAGGACATATGAGAACTTGTACTGTAACATCACGTAACTCGGTAGTGTCCCAAATTTTATGATGAATGTGATTATGGGGCCAAAGAGGAAAGTGATCGATGGTGTAGAGTGTGCCTAAGGAGAGTCACATGGAGAGAAAACATTCTCTCAGGCTTTCACAGAGAGCACATTGGCCAAGCAATGGCCACGACTCATTCACATGGCTGACACTGTCAAAGGATCTACAATCTGAGGTACAGAATCTCAGGATAAATCCTGAGGGGATTTCACTGACCTTATCACACCCAAAAGCTACAACTTCTGTTGCATAGGTCCTGCTTTACCTTGGTCTTAACCATGCAGCAGAAAAGTATAAAAACGAAATGTAAGAAGTAAAGTCATGTTGTTATGTTGAGCTGTAGGGGACTCAGGTCAACAATTTCTGACACTGCCAGTCAAGTGAATACTATTATGGGCTCCTGGACTCTTTTAGAATATTTTGCTGAGTTTACACACCTATAATATTCAAATAACAGAACTTAACAAAAAAAGGGGATACAGATGAATGTCCATTTTGTATCTGTGTATTCAAAGTGGTTAGGAGAGATATATAGTTACATTCTCTTAATCAATAGAGGGATTTGTTCTAATGGTGTTTTTAAATAGGTTATTGTGTCTGCATCTTGTACAGCATTTAACCACGGAAGAATGTATGCAATTCTTATTATGTAATGTATGCAATGTGTTAATTATTGAAACTGTCCTACCAATTTTGTTTGAAACTGTCTCATTGCTATTTGTTTCTCAATAAAATTATGGAAAAAAATAAAAAAAGAAATGAATGCCTGTTGTAGGAAACTCAGTCCAAAACACAGAACCGACCTAATTCTTTCCTCATTGCTTTTCCCCATCCCATGACTGATGGATAAATGGAAGCACATGCAGAGAGGGGACACCTATTTGATATAATTTCACTGATGACAATGCTACCAAATGTTCTGATGTACAATAAAACAAAATTCCCAGAGAAATGTGGCTCTATTTTTACATTTAGAGCCCTGCCTTTGTGCTTCCTAGAAGGTACATTGAGTTTATTTTATTTATTTATTTAGCTTTTGTATTTAGTACAGGATCTACAGGATCTCACTAGGTAAATTGGATTTGTAGTGATTCTCCTGTGTTCAGCCTCCCAAACGCTGGGATTACAGGTGCACGCCACCATGCCCCGTCTCAATCGCCATCTCAGGGGCCTGGCCTTAGCTCAGTTGTTTAAGTGGCTGCTTCCACAAAGCTGTCAGCCTGAGGTTGCTGGAGTTTGATCCCCACAACACTGCAGCCAGCCAAACCACCCCTGAGGGCATTCGGAGAAAAAAAAAAATCTTAAAAGGAGCCTGGGCCTAGCTCAGTCCTTTAAGTGGCTGCTTCCACAAAGCTGTCAGCCTCAGGTGGCTGGAGTTCGAACCTCACAACTCTCCCGCTGGCCAATGTGCCCTGAAGGCATGCTAGGACAATAGAAAAAAAAAATCCTTATTCAATCGCCATCTCAGTGTGTCCTGGGGACCCGGCTGGCATGGCATGCCAGGGCTTGAACCCTGGCCGCTGCGCTCTGCCTAAGCAGGCGCTTTAGTCCTCTGAGCTATCTGCCCGGCCCCACTGGGTTTATTAATGATCAGTTCATTTGCTCTGAGGTCATTCAAACAGATGGAATTCCCCAGCTGTATTTTGAAACACTTTCTGGAGTTCCTGGTCCACCAGAAACAATGTTTGTTGAAAAGATGAATGTTTACTGATCAGAAGTGTTTAGGGAACATGGTGAGGTTACCTAAATCTTAATTTAAAATTTGCTAGTTACGTGCTTGTTAAATTGATGAAAACTGGGGCCGGGGAGATGGCTCAGAAGCATAAGTGCTTCCCTGGCAAGCACGAGGGCCTGAGTTCAACCCCTGGTTCTGGAAAAAAAAATTATAAAACCACTGCTAGTTTCTTGAGCATATATGGAATGGAAAAAATAAAGTGTTAGGATTAATATAGTTAACTAGTTTATTTAAATCATCAATATGCATAAATAATGAAGGGTCCTCAATTGGCTTTTTTTTTTTTTTTTTTTTTTGGAGGAACCGAGGATTGAACTCAGGCCCTTGAGCTTGCCAGGGAAGCACTTATTCCACTGAGCCATCTCCCCGGCCCCCTCAAATTTTCCTTTTTTTCTTTTTTTCAGAACCGGGGATTGAACTCAGGTACTTGCGCTTGCCAGGGAAGCGCTTATTCCACTGAGCCATTTCTCCGGCCCTCAATTGGCTTTTAACAGAAACCTTAAGCGAAAGCTTTTGAAGGCCCAGCTCCTTACACGTTTAATATTTGTTGCTCCATTTGCTAAAAATCAGATTTTCTTTATTGTTGAGATGTGAGATTCTCCTAGAAAATTGGTTTAGTACCTCTTTCCACATCAATGTTTTCCCTCCTTATTTATTTTATCACTCTGCTATTTACTAAGTAAACCCAATGAAAACCCAATAAAGAAAGAAAGAGAAACTCATTCATACCACCTCAGAGAAAATGCTACACCTGGTCACGACAACTAACAGAAAGGGGCTCTTAAATATTTATGTGACTCCTGTAAACTTTGGACAGCCCAAAGCAAATGTCTTTTCTCTTCAGTCTTAGAAGTGACACATATATTCCATCCCAAGGTAAAAGAACAATTAGGAAACTGGCAGCATTCAGCTAACCTTAAACCTAAGCCTGGCCCTTAGGTCTCACTCATTCACCATCACCTAAATAGTCATGACCTGTGCTATCTTCACCACTCACTGGCACAAGACAGAAATTTTCTTATAAAATTCAGCTAACATGTTACACACTTACACTAATTACAAATCCTCTACTAATAACCAAAATGAGGTTCTGAAAGAGTAATACGTATTTAAATCCCCATGCTAATTTTTGGCTAATGAATAATGATAAAAACATTTAAAATAAACTCCTAAAACATAAATTACTTTCAAAATCTAGCATTTCATTTTGCCTATCAGTGCATTATTATTGTTGTTACTCCTGACCAAACGATTCAGAGGTGAGGATTTCTTTTTCCTGCCCAGCAATCTCCTCTTCTGCTCCTCAGCCATGCATTTCGAATGACTTCTATTTTATTTTACCAATAAAAAGTTTTTAAAAAGAAAACACAAAGAATTTCATTTTCCTGTTTCATGTTTCAAAATAACACAATTTACCCAAAGTAATTTGAAACCACAACTGTATTCTCTTTCAATTGCTAACATTTTATTTAACCACAATGCACATGAAACACACATTGGGATCTAACAAAACAACTGTGGCATTTTCATTTTTGACCCCTGTGGAACAATGAATTCCATAGCAAGAAGACCTGCACAACTGGTTTACTGATGGGAAAAGTTACTCAACATACAGCTGTACTGCTCTGTGTTAATGCAGTGTGGAGATTCAGAAAGCTGGAAATAAAAATCATTTTCTTTTGGAGCTGCTGCTTTCAACTGTTCAGAAGTCATTTTCTCCTTGAAAACTCACGTAACTAAGCTAATACTAATTTTGCTAGGCACTGAATAAAAGAAAAGATGTTTAGCTCAGGAAATCATTTAGCAATTTTTAGAAAGTAGAGGAATAACAATTATAAATATTTTTCATCCATCAAATCCACAAATCAAGGGATTCTTACAGGAGGGAGTGAGATGTTACTGAGTTGAATAAAAGAATTCTCATAGATGTATTTATTGTATGTTTCATTCGGTTTGATGCTGACTTGAGTTTAGAAAGAGGACAAAAGCGTCCAGGATTAAACAGCCCTGACAGGATGCTGGTTGTGCTTCAGACAAAGGGCTGGGCGGCTCTTACCTCTGCAGGCATTACTCAGCACTTCTCATAAGCTGACATATCTCGCTGGGCACACGGGCAAGGCAACATCCTTTTGCTGCTGCTTGGTTGGTTTTCTCTGCCAAAAAGGAAGGCAGAGAAAACATCAGGATTGGGGAAAAGCAGTCAGGTAGTAAGAATGTCTAGGGATAAGAGTGCAGGTGAATTCTGGGCACCGTGTCTCTCCCAACTGCCCTAGAATAAGTGTAATAATTTTGTATGACATAATAAGAGACAAAAATGTGTGTCACATGGTGCTTTCTGAAAGATTTTGAATGAATAAGTGAATGAGTGCATAATCAATGGTGCACCCTGGTTCATCTGTTCTGGGCACAGGCCAAGAAAAGGCAACAACTCTCATTTTGCTCTGTCTCTTTCTAACATGCACGCTACTCTCAGAGGACAGAACTCCAACACAAGGACCAAATACAAATTTAGAGAATCACTTAGACACACATTCCTCCCTCTGATGTAATCGGAGAAAGTAACTAGATTGGAATTAGCGTGCTTCTTGAGACCATACTCTTCAGTGAAATAAATCTAACATACATGTTTAAATGTCATATTGTTTCTCTGGTGTGAGAAACCAGAAAGGCAAATAAGGATCAAAATGTACAACAAGACTGGGCAGATAGCTCAGGGAGTAAAGTGTCTGCTTAGGCAGAATGCAGTGGCAGGGGTTCAATCCCTGGCATGCTGGCCTGGCCTATGGAGTGCGCTGAGAGGGCGATTGAGACTGGGTGTGGTGGCACATGCCTGTAATCCCAGAGCTTGGGAGGCTGAAAACAGGAGAATCACTATGAGTCAAATCTACATAGTGAGACCCTATAAACCCTGTAGTTCCTGTCCTAAAATATCAAACAAACAAACAAACAAACAGATATTACACAATAGAAAGAAAATGTTCAAATGAGAAGGGGAACTGAGAAGGGAGTAGGAGAGAAGCGAGTAAGGGGAAGGACAAGAGATTAGAAGGGAAAAACATAGAATAGTTTTGTAAATAAGGAGGGGAAGTGGGGTTGAAGAGAGGAGAAGGGATTAGGGAAAGAGGAAGTATCAGGATATATTATGTACAGGTACAAACTCCTTATGATGACTGTTATAATTGTGTGTATCTAAAATATATGAATAAAATTAATTTTTAAAACATTTAAAAAGATAAAAAAAGAGTATGCTTGCTTTAACAGCACAAATACTAAGATTGTAACTAGGTGGTAATTTTTTTTGGCTTCTTGTTTGTCTAACAGAAATGAAAGTTTGAGGATGCATCACATTCATAAAAATCATCTAAAGAACTATGTGAAAGTATAGCTGAAGGATCACTCTAAGGCTTTGTTCCAAAGAGATGAGTTTAGACTCAGAAGCTGTCTTTGAATCTCTTGTCTCAATGATTAGCATGTAAAAATCATATTTGATTAGTGAGTATGTATAGAGAGACACGATCAGATTAATGGACTAGGGAAGTCATCCTATACAAATTTCAAAAGGAAGTTTTCGGTACCTGAGGAAGTGAATTAATTCATGCAAGAATTTGCTGATGAGAGAGAAATCTATGAATTTAAAATTTGGAAGGGATCATTTTTGTTATAGAGATTTATTTTTTTCAATGTTGAAAGTTTCATGGTGAATCCATAAAATTTAGAAAGAGAATATTTAGGTTCAAAATTTAGTTTTGGTCATTCCAGTTTCTTCACCTATCTCCACTTCTATCACTTATAAAGTGGCACAATATAGATGCCTGCCTGGTCATTACCTACCTTGTAAAACAGTTTCTTTAATAACAACATGTATTGAAAAGTGGCCACAGAGAGCTACGTCTACACCATGGAAACATTTCACCCCATTCCCATGGCTTTAGTCTGATGGTTTATAGGAGGACACTGATTATCTGGTAAGTTCACAGTTTACCTTTGACACAGTAGGGTTCTCTTTTGGGAATCTTTAAGTTGGGAGTCATAGTGAGTGGGTCAGATTGCTGTGGGAACACAACCTCGGGCGACCCAGAGCTTCATCTTTGGAAGCTGAGTCTATCCATGAGCAAACAAAACAGCAAAAAGAGGAGAAGCACAAAGAAACAGTAAAGTAACAAAAGGTGTGCATTATTTGGCTTTGGTTTTTAACTTCTTTGTTTTAATGCAACCTGTAGTTTGCCTATATGTTGGTCTTTGTAAGTTCTCACAATAATCTCACAAATAGTCTGCTTTACTTATGCTAGTTGGAAGATTTTTATTTTTTTTTAAACTGGAAATCAAACACAGGACCTCACAATAGTGCCTGTCAGGCAGGCACTATGCTACTGAGCTGCATCTCTGGCCCGTGAAGCTGCTATTATTCCTTAAAGGCAACTATTCTTTGACATAAGTATAATATGAAAATACTTGCCACATAACACATTCTTAAGTTATTATTTTAACTGCTGATGTTATAGAGAAGGCAACAGAGGTTTGACAAAGCTCATAGTATCACAGATAATGAAATCATTAGTCCTGTTCAGATAGCTTATTTTTGAGACTTGAATCAGAATCTCATGTTTTACAGTTCAACAATGTTGTTTCAAAACTAGTTCAGGCAGAAAGGATAATATTTTATTGAAAAGATTTATAAAGTTGACATATATCGGGGCTGGTGAGATGGCTCAGTGGTCTAAAGCACCTACTTAGAGCAAGCTTAGCAAAGCACAAGGGACCGCAGTTCAATCCCCCAGCACCACATGCCAGCCAGCCCTGCCCCCTGGGGGGCTGAGCTGGCCACACACACACACACATACACATAAATAAATAAAAAATTTTTAAAAAGTTGACATGTATCATCACTGAGAAGTTGTGTCATTACCTATATTATGATAGTTAGATTTTTAAAAACAGACAAAATCATTCCCTGAAAAGAACTTAACGTAATTTTAAACACTTGGACCAATGTAGAATTGGGATATTAAAGCTCTGTGCTATAAGAGATGATTAAAAAAAAACTAACTAGAAGAGACGTCAAGATAGCTTAGTGGACTAAGCACCTGCTTTGGCAAGCTCAGGGATGAGGGTTCAATTCCCGGTCTGGCATGCCATGTGGGCCCTGTCCCTGGGGCACACAGAGCCAGTGACCAAGTCCAGGCATGGTGGTGCATCCCTGTAATCCTAGGATAAAAACAGGAGGATCAATAGGAGTCCAAGCTATGTAGTGAAACACTGTACGAAATACATAAATAAAAAACAAAAAAACTAGAAAAAAGAGGCTATCATTATACCTTACCTATCGGAAAAGTTACCTTTTACAGACTGACTGGAGTTTGAGTTAAATTATATCCTGATAAATCTATCAAAATGTGCCACCTACAAATGGAATCACTTAATAAGTTGAGTGTTTGAAAATGTCTTTTAAATAATCAATTTATCCTCCAAAGAACATCTGTTAGAACAAGTTTTGGCGTAGTTGACAGTAAGTTGTGCTCAGAATTTAAATTGAGTCAAATTTATTTTCCACAGATAGTCACAGTTTTAGATGTTATTATATAATCTTCTGCCAGGGATAAGGAATAACATTCTGAATGTTCCACTTCAAAATGTGAAGACACTTAGTATAAAAATATCTAGTGTTTTAAATGTTTGAAAGTCAGTCCAAAAGCAGAAAATAAGTTGGGCATGATAAAAATATCAGCCCTATGCTGGGGGTGTATTGCTAGAAGTTCCACCTTCTAATAATTTAGTTGCTAGGCAAATATTGGAGCTGAATTCAATAAGAAAAGGATTATAAAATACTAATCAACTAATCAATAAATCACCAAGAGACTGTGAAATCATAGCTATCCCCAGGTACATGCTAACAGCACGAATAGGCAGCGGAATTTTGCAGTGTGCTCTCCTTTAATCATGAGCTTTCCTGGGTCAGCAGCATGACCCGTACAGAACCTGGAGTCCCTGCCAGCTTCTGTGTCAGGCATTAGGAAGCCAGAGGCAAACTCAGGACCAAACAAAAATCAGGACTGAGCTTCAGCATTTGGCAACATCTGCGCCACCAGTCCTTTTGCCTTGTTTGATCTTTATTATTTGGTTTGACGTTATATTTGATTTAATAAAATAGGTTGAGTTCATTTTTGAAACCAGAAAAGAAAGACGTGAATGTTTTGCCTTGATGTAGTTTATGTCAATTTCAAGTGTTTTATCTTTCCACGGAGAGAAACATACAGTTTCAGGCTCCTATTGTCACAGACCTGCATACAATGAATATAGTTATATCTCCTATTAGTTTTCTCCAAGCTGAAAATTTTCACACACACACACACACACACACACACACACACACACACACACGGCATAGACACTCTAATAAAATAATGGCAATAAGAAAAGCAAAAAAAATGGGGCCCAGGAGATGGCTCAGTAGAATAAGTGCTTGCCTGGCAAGCACAAGGGCCTGAGTTCAATCCCTGGTTCCTCCAAAAAAAAAAAAAAAAAATAATAATAATAAATAAAAGAGAAAAAAGCAAAAAAGACGATGCTGGACTCCTGTACATAGTTCCCACAGCAAAAATTACTGTTATGTTTTAAGTGATTATAATACCTTTATTTACTTGGTTCACATCTGTGTACAAACCAGCAGTATTTGTAAAATATGAGGAGGTCTGAGGTGTGATTGTCTCATATGTACAAGACCCTGGCTTTAATTCTCAGAAATTAAAAAAAGTGGAGCATGTTAAACAATAAAATTAATCTCTTAGTATAAAGATATTCCATGATTCTCTTATGCATCCTGTTAATAAGAAACAACAGCTACTTACTATTTCTTGTTAAATACAAAACGTTAGTGACTCCATCAATACCAATCTCATGACTAACTTTTCAACCATGTCACTATAGGTTTTCCTGATTTAAACTATGTTTTATGTGAATCAAAATTCCACTAGAGACTCTCCTGTCTTTTTTTTTTTTTTTTTTTTTATTTTTTTTTCTGCCTTGTTTTTTTTTTTTTTTTTTTTTTTTAGATTTTTTTCCTGGAGTTTATTAGCACTATGGTGTCAGTTTTGGCAATCTGTATCTCTGAAATTTAACTTGGGCTTCTAAGTTAGAACAGAGGAGAAAGGGTTGT